CTCGGTCTAACGCCAAATCGAGTCAACTAAACAAAAACCCAAAATATCGTATACAAAAGGCATGAAAATCTACTCCGGTGGTCCTAATGTCCAGCTCCATGCTATCACGGTCATCCATATCTAAAGATACCTACAAAAAGGACAACAGAGTTGGATGAGTAACCTAATGTTACTCAGTGAGTTGGCAGCCTCTACCCGCAACCTAATAACCCAAAATAAAAATCAATCTAGCCTAAGCATGCAATGAAAACTAAGGCTATACAAGCAATAACAATAATACTATCCACTCAAACCTTTACTCAGTTAGACCCGACCTCTTGCCATGATCCAATTTCAAAATAACGGGAACCTGCATAAAGACAAGTCAACAACCAATCCCTAGTTAACCATGTATACGTCTGAGTTCAATACTCATGTAGTGTTAGACACCTAGACTATACAAGCATCATTAATCGGTCGACCAACAATCAAACAAGAACATGATCGGCCAACCAATGATACCGCATAGCTTTAATATCCACCACCCTTCACAAGCAATCCCCCAAACAATATAACAGCTAACTTCAGATCAACACAACAAATAAACACCAAGCCTAATCCGGTACCTAACCCGGAATTAGGACTCAATGTTAGAAACCTGCAAAGAAATCAATCACCAATATCACAATAATAATATTCTAACTAATCACGACTCGATCTAATGCGTAACACTGTATATCAGTGTTACACTTCCCTAGGGTTCCATAACCCTATACTCGACACAACACTAAAACTCGAAACAACACTCTAACATGAGCCCTGTTGACTTCGTGTTCCTCCTCAACATCGGCAACATCCTAACTCCCTACCACAAAGGCCGGAAGAAGGAACTTTCAACCGACCGCGGCCCACAGTCATTCGGGTCACCGCGCGACAGCCCACAGTCCATCGGGTCACTGCCACATTACACCGTCGTGTAATACTCAACAATAGGCCATGACCCCGTCTATCTGAGTCTTCCCGATCCAGCGAATAAGGGGTTTCCTTGAACCCGCTGGGTACGAGGCTGAGGAAACACTAATCACCCCTAAACATGCCTAGCATGGGCGGGTTACACACATGCTGTCGGCAACACACACCTAACAACCTAAACACAACCTTATTCCAAAACCTAACCTAAGGACACAAATTCCAGAACCTAACTATCCACAACCTAGCGATATTATCTAGACTCAACACTGACCAATAGTACCAGTAGTCCGGCCTATATGGCCTAAGACACTTAGTACTAACATCTAAACAAGTAAATAACAATACTTAATAAATAACAACTCAACCGGCTAGTCACTCCCTTACCAAGAGCTGACTAACCTCAATCAACAAGCATTATATAAACAAGCAAGCATCAACCAATTCAATCAAACCGTTACCCAGATAGTTCAGCCTTCTGCTATGAAACTATCTTTAAAGATAACGGGAACCTACACTCAACCATATCAACACGCAAGAATAGAAAACATGATGCATCCTAGCCCTATCCTAGTCAGGTTATTAACTCAGTCTTAATTTCCTTTAATCTCATCTTACCCCTTGCTAAACTGAGTCTGGTTCTAATTAGCAAAATAACCCTAAGGACTATACCATAAAAAGTATGATCATTCTAATCTATATGCAGAATCGATCTATCCTAAATTCCAAACAGAATTCAAACAATACCAACTCACAGTGTTCTATGTCGATAAGCAGCTGGTTGATCGGAGAGGACTCGGCTAAACCCAACCAGGTCGGCTTGAATGGACTGGACTAGGCTGATCTCGACTTGGACAGAACCTCCCCTTGATTGTAGAAGAAAATGACTGCCTTGGATGGATAGATTTGGGCAGCGCTTCCGCGTTACAATCATAGAGAATCGTCGATTGGACAGAACTTGCCTTCTTGGTAGATCGGGCTTCGGAACTTCGACTGATCTGGGACAGCACCTCCACTTCATCATCAGAGAATAATACTAGAGTGGAAATATTGATCTGGACAGCTCCTTCCCTAGGCACTCACTCAAAATCAGTAGGGAACTGACCTCGAGAACTCTCTAAAACTCTCGAAAAAGCTCGGAAACTATCGAAACCCTAACTTTCTCTCTCTCTCTTTTTCTCTCTCACGTTTTGGAGTGACTTTGGTGTGGTCTGGATGTGAAGAAATGGAAGGGGGACGTGGTCTATTTATAGGATACAACAACCAATCAGAAGCAAGCCGTGTGGCAGCCCGTGTGTCGCTTCGCATGACTCCGGACGCATGTGTCGCAACACCTCGTGGTCCACATGTCTTTCAGCATGACCAGGACTCATGAAAAGTGACACCTCTCTCCTTCCTTGACGACCAGATAGCTTGCTGCATGACTGGAGTGCTTGCATCGCGACACACGGGCCACTGGGTGTCGATACGCATGCGCTGGTTGCAGATACGGTGACACCTCGTGCTTCTGTGTGTCAAGGTGCATGTGCTGCTTCCATGCATAGCTACACCTCCTTCTTGTGTTGACACTCAGCAGGTTTAATGGTTGACACCTCGTTCTGATCCCTTTGAGCAAGCCACCTCGAGCTTCTCGGTCGATTTACCTGATTTCGATCTTTCCGGTGAATTCTCGACCCGCGATCACTCCTGAATATTTTTCCGCTCCCATTCTGATGCTCTAAATGATCTTGATAGACTCCAAATAATTCTTGACCTTGATGAAAAATATTTCCCGAGCCTCTGGCTTCCTCAAAAAAATCCCGTGATATCGAAATTTGGGTTTTCGTCCAACTTCGGGATTTCCCGTCGTGCTTCGATCCCGTCATGCTTGCTTTCCGTCCTGCTTACTTCCCATCCAACTTCCAAGATTATGTCTCCGAATAATATAATACTGATAGTTACGAAGTTTTGCAGATTACTTTGTGACTAAGAAACGCCGAGCTTCAGAACCGTCGTGCTTCAAAAATGTTATGCTTCCAAAACAGCCGTCTGATCAATCTAAGACTTTGTATAACACGGTAGAGCAGCTTATATCGCCTCATTGTTCAACCATGATCCATTCTTCGACCATCTCGAACTTGAAACTCTCGATCGACCCTTATCGTCTGCGACTTGATCACCAAGTGGATCCTCGACCAATCGTCTCGACCAATTGTTCTCGTCCATTTTATCCGAATGGGCGGGTTATCACACCGGTACTATCGACTGAGCTCACCTTTGCGTCACCTTACTGTCAGTTCCCCATCGTATGTGTGGACAAGTTTATCGGCGGTACGAGAAAATACTACTGCTAGGAGTTAGACAGAAGATACATTCGGGCTATGAGGTGAAAGTTTGGGAGGATCCATGGATTCCTACCATTCCTACGAGACCAACATCCTCATCTGTGCCGGTTCTACATCCGAATATGAGAGTGAGTGACCTTATCAACCAAGAAACGAAGTCTTGGGGTGTGGATCGGCTAGGTAATTACGTAGATGCTGCTGACATACCTCTAATAAGGGGTATGGCCATTAGTTATACACATCGAAGGGACACATACTGCTGGAGCTATACAAGGAATGGACAGTACACAGTCAAATCAGGATATTGGGTTGCACATAACATATTGAGGAAGGAGGAGGACGCTGTAGTTTGTGAACCTAGTATTACAAAACTCCAAGCACATGCTTGGAAGGTCAAGGCATCCCAAAAGATGTGTCATCTTATGTGGTAAATAATAACAGGTCATGTGGCTGTTACAAGTACGTTGAACCTTAGACATATGAGATGTGATAATTATTGTCCACGATGTGGGGAACCAGAAGAATCAGTTACACATGCAATTTTTCAGTGTCCACCGGCGATGCAAGTTTGGGAATTATCATCAATGCCTACCAACCCTACTTTGTTCCCACTTCAAAGCACATACACAAATATGGGCTATCTCTTTTGGACATAGATCCTTATCTCTGGCTGATATGGTATATCTGGAAGGCTCAGAATGACAAATTGTTCAGAGAAATTGATAGAGATCCCTTGGAGTTAGCCGGCTATGCAGAAAGTGAATGTCAAGCCTGGTTCCAAGCAAATGAACATATTATTTCGTCATCTCAAGTAGCCATAAATGTTGAAAGCCAGGCCATAAGTCTGGGAAACATTTGTATGGTTGACGATTCTTAGACCTCTACAGCTCAGTTCAGTGGATGTGGTTGGGTTTGGAACGATAGTATGAGGAATAGTCAGCTAATGGGCATGCGTATTCTTAGTAGGATGGAGTCTGCTTTGCACTCTGAGTTAGAAGTACTGCATTTGGCAATGGAGAATATGCTTCAACATTCGTCATGTCAAAGCTTTAGGACGGATTGTAAGGAGATGATAGTGATGCTCAGAAACCCTTAGGAGTGGCCAAGCTTCTCAACGAAATTGGAAAAGCTTACGACGCTGAAGATCTGTTTCCCTGATTTCAAGATTTTCTATGTTCCTAGGACACATAGTGCCGTTTCTGATTCTTTAGCTAAATCGGCTAGATTCTTTTATCGTGAGCTTTTATATGTTGGTTATTCTATTCCGGTGTAGCTTTCCAGACCATCTCAAGATTGACTTTCTATTCTGATCAGCCTTTTGACGTAAAAAAAAAAAGAAAAAAAAAACTTAACAAAACTTTTGCATCATTTGTATAAAACACAGATTCGGATTTTTAACACTAAATAAACGCAATTTAGTTAATTTTTGACAAAACAAAAAGAGAAGCTCAGGATTCGCCAGTTTCATCTCGTAAAGTCTGACAGATGCAATGGACCCAACCTTCGCAGAACCAAATTTTCATCACAGTTCATTCAGCAGCCGGTAATCGAACCCGGATCTGTACCAAGGCAGGGTACTATTCTACCACTAGACTACTGGTGCTTCGTTGTTATATCTCATTATGTGTTAAACTAAATTCAAACTTCAGACATTCTTTCTATTTCTTCCAAACACCTTTTCGTATGGGACACACCCCTAACGAAGTTTCAAGTTCCAACTTTCAAAATCGCACTCTTTCTGTTGCTTAGCTCTGTAGCTGTAAACACTACGATTGAAGGAGCTAAATTTGTGAAGAAGCAACTCGTTTCCGTTTCTCTAATCGATGTTGAATTTAAGGCTAAGTCGCCTTCTTCGTCGACCCTTAATCCGATTCTCAGCTTCTCCAATCTCTAACGGCGAAACTGACGCATCTCTCTCCACATCGTCGTCGGAAAAGCCTCCCTTCAATCATGTCCGAGAGAGAGAAGGAGGATTTCATTGCGAAGATGAACAATTTGAAGAATTCACGCAATTGGGTTTCGGAAAGTCACCGCCTTTGAGCGTCTGTGATCCTGAATCCGGACAAATTCGAAACCCTAGCTTTGACGAGATAAATGAATTGACAGAAGAAGAAGAAGACGATGACGAAGAAAGTGTCGAAGATGACGATTTCGAATCTTTTGGAAACATACCACAATCGAGACAAGACGTTAACAGTAGATTCGATGTCGTGGAAGAAGATGAATCCAGACACCCTTTGGTTAGAGAGACAAACCGATTGATTGGTCTGAGATCATCATGGAACCAAAAGCACGAAGGCGAAATGAGGAATCTTCTAAGGAGCCTTAAACCATCGCAAGTCTGCGCCGTTCTACGCTCACAAGACGATGAGCGTGTTGCTCTCAAGTTCTTCTACTGGGCTGATCGTCAATGGAGGTATCGCCATCACCCTCTTGTGTACTACTCAATGCTCGAGGTTCTCAGCAAGACTAAGCTCTGTCAAGGTGCAAGAAGAGTTCTTGTTCTGATGAAACGTAGAGGTGTTCATCGAACTCCTAAAGCGTTTTCGCTTGTGATGGTATCTTATAGTAGAGCTGGTCAACTGAGGGATGCTTTGAAGGTGTTGACTCTTATGCAGAGAGCTGGTGTTGAGCCTGATTTGTTGATTTGCAACACTGCTATTGATGTTTTCGTGAGGGCGAATAGGTTGGAGAAAGCGTTACGGTTTCTGGAACGTATGCAGGTTATTGGTATAGTGCCAGATGTGGTGACTTATAATTGTGTGATTAGAGGATATTGTGACTTGCATCGAGTTGAGGAAGCTGTTAAGCTACTAGAGGAAATGCCTTGTGTGCCGGATAAAGTTAGTTACTATACCATAATGGGTTTCCTTTGCAAAGAAAAGAGGGTTGAGGAAGTGAGAAACTTGTTGGAGAAAATGGCGAGAGAGCATGGTTTGGTGCCGGATCAAGTCACTTATAATAATCTTATTCACATGCTTACAAAGCATGGTCATGCGGATGAGTCTCTTTTGTTTTTAAAGGAAGCCGAAGAAAAAGGCTTTCGGATTGATAAGGTGTGTTATAGTGCAATAGTTCATGCATTGTGCAAAGAAGGAAGAATGTCTGAGGCAAAAGATCTCATTAACGATATGCTGTCAAAGGGACATTGCCCTCCAGACGTAGTAACTTATACCGCAGTTGTAAATGGCTTCTGTCGTTTGGGTGATGTGGACAAAGCCAAAAAGCTGCTTCAGGTTATGCACACACATGGGTACAAACCAAATACTGTGTCGTACACAGCTCTGTTAAATGGGTTGTGCAGAACGGGGAAATCTTCAGAGGCAAGAGAAATGATGAACATGAGTGAAGAGCAATGGTGGAGTCCAAATTCTATTACATATAGTGTACTTATGCATGGGTTTCGTAGGGAAGGGAAGTTGTCTGAGGCAAGTGATGTGGTCAGAGAGATGGTACTAAAAGGTTTTTTCCCAGGTCCTGTTGAAATTAACTTGCTGCTCCAGAGTCTTTGCCGGGATGGGAAAACACAAGAGGCCAGAAAATTCATGGAGGAGTGCCTGAACAAGGGGTGTGCTATTAATGTCGTGAATTTCACTACAGTGATCCATGGTTTTTGTCAGAACGATGAGATAGACGCTGCTCTCTCACTCCTTGATGACATGTACCTGATCAACAAACACGCAGATGTCTTCACATATACCACTTTAGTTGATGCATTGGGGAAAAAAGGCAGAATAGAAGAAGCAACGGAACTTATGAAGAAGATGCTTCACAAAGGCATAGATCCTACCCCTGTCACATACAGGACTGTCATCCATCGATACTGCCAAATGGGGAAGGTTGATGATCTCGTGGCTATACTGGAGAAGATGCTGTTGCGGCAGAAATGCAGGACAGTCTATAATCAAGTCATTGAGAAGCTTTGTGGTTTGGGAAATCTCGAGGAGGCAGACAAAATTTTGGGTAAAGTTCTGAGGACAGCTTCGACATCTGATGCTAAGACATGTTATGTACTTATGGAAGGGTATCTTAAGAAAGGTGTACCTCTATCAGCATATAAAGTTGCTTGTCGGATGTTTAACCGCGATCTGATACCTGATGTTAAGATGTGTGAGAAGCTTAGCAAGAGACTGGTTCTCGAAGGCAAAGTGGAAGAGGCAGACCAGCTAATGTTACGTTTGGTTGAGCGTGGTCGTATTTCACCCCTACCCTTAAAACAGTCTATGGTCTCATAAATATCTGTCTGGGTTTACTTTCATTTTGTAACCACAAACTTCTTGGTGGACTGTTTGAGATCTCAGGCGAAGAGAGTTTGATGGAATATAACTACATGCTGATTTATTTTGTCGCTGGTTAGTCACGACTTTCAGCTCTCAAGCTAAGCAACTAGGCTCTGCGTTAGCGGTCATGGATTCCATAGTTGATGTTATTCTGCTTCACATCTTCCTGGTACTCACTATTCCAAATTTGAGTGATAGCTTGCAGTGAAGTTCTAATATATCTCTGTCCTCTTTGAGTTTTTTACTTTAGTTAAGGTCACCGTTGTTTTTCTGTGTTTGCATTTGTTCTCGTGTCATAATAGTTAGAAGTTAGAACATTATAATATGGGATACTCAAACGAAAATGTAAAGAAACAATCGTGGTCTAAATCATGTTGTTCTCTGATTTGTAATTTACATAATAGCAAGCCTATAGGCTATAGGTTGTTGACACTTCACAGCTCATACAATGCAAATTATAACTATCTATTTATTGATCACTATTCTGAGTAGTGATTTCATTACAGACTATGATGTTTTTGATTGCTGCTTCTTAATTAAATTACGTACAAGTTGCAACTGAGAAAGCGTGAATGTAGCACCATGAGTTTCTATACATTTTGGGTGCTCACTTTCTGAACTTACATGCAAGTTATAACATCAATTATGAGAAGAGAACGTTAAAGCTTTTGCAAAAGACAGGATTCAGTGGCAAGAAATAGAACATAATAACAATTTGAGGATTATTCTTTATGGGGGTATATCTTTTACACATCGCTGTATCATTAAAGATATGCATTATTTTCTATACCTGGGTATAGTGAAGTTGTTTGGTTGCTTGTTTGCATTAGAGCTGTCATTGTTTATTTGTTTTTTTTTTTTTTTTTGGTTGATGTTGAAGGTACTTATCATACATCATTTTCGTG